ACACTAAGCCAACAACCCACCTAATCTGTGAGTTAAACGGGTTGGCCCGCGGGCAAATGTAAAAAAAATACTTCCTATATGACAAAAGATTCTTTAAATATAATTACCATAGAGTATATAATTATATATTTATATTAGTAAGTAGTAATAAGGAAAATAAAAGAAAGCAAAATACTTGTTAAGTTTAATTAAAATAGTTTAAATACTTGTTAAGTTTAATTAAATACCAAGAAATCATGGGTCACAAGCCTTCCTACAGGAAAATGCTTAAAGTGGGCGAACTCTTGTATGAGGAAAAGCTCATTCCGAATACATATACATTAGCTAGGCCTCATGTACTCATTATCAGTTGGAAGAAGCCGAGTAAATCTAAACCCTATAAACTGAATATAGATGCGAGCTTCTCACCTCAATTTGCAACGTCCCTCCCTCTGGAGGCTTCATCTGCGCTAGAAGCTGAACTTAAAGCGGTTATCAGTGCTACGAACTGGATCCTGGGTGAAGGTTTTTCGGATTTCCAAGTTGAGATAGATTCCACTGAAGCGCTGAAATATATCATGGATGGCGGTTCAGGTAGATGGTGTTGTGAGATTAAGGATGTTGGATCGATTCACCCCTGTCGACAAACTTCCCAGTGGGTCACCCATCCTTGGGCTTTCTTACCCCGGGCTCGCTTAACTCCAGAGTTCTGTGATTAAATAGCAGCCATATCTTTCTTAAAACCAATTGGTGATAAGGAAGTGGACACCCTCTATTTAACCCATTACTCTGTAGTCCCCAAGTCAAGGTAGATTCCTGTGGGGCACCCCCCACAGTTCACTACGGCAGTGCAGAGCCCCACTACTGAGCGGCGGATGGACATGAGGGGCTGCACCACATCGTGGTGCCAACAGGTTGGACGGTTAAGCCCTGAATCAAAGGGTGGTGCTGATCTCCCATAAGACCAACAAAGGAGATGTTGATTCTGTCTGAAAGAAGAATGGTTGCTGCCTTTTCCAATTTCGAGCGCCTGGCGTGAAACGAATTGGGTTGTATTCTCAGACCTGACTTCTCCCGGCCCAAGCTAAGGGAGTGTTTGCAATTGGTTCAACTTTGAAAAAGTGATTTTTTAAAGTGATTTTGGGAAAAGTGATTAAGGCTTTGTTTGCAAACAATTAATTTAAGTGCTTTTGTTTTTTTTTTTTATAGAAAAAAACACTTATTTTATCAAACAATACCAACTTTTACTTTCTCGGTTTTCGTGTAGAATCTACTTTTTACTTTTTCTATTACACAAAAAGCACTTATTTTACCAAACACTACCAACTTTTACTATTAATCACATTTTCCCAAAAAGTGCTTTTATTTAAGCACAATCACTTGCAAACAGAGCCTAATAGTAAAAGTTGGTAGTGTTTGAGAAAAAAGTGATTCTGGAAAAGTAAAAGTTGGTAGTGTTTCGTAAAATAAGTACTTTTTGTGTAATAGAAAAAATGAGAAGCAATTTAAAGCACCCTTCTACCTGCTTCCAGCTTTTAGATTTTAAGTGAATAATTTAAGCAGAAGCTGTCATTTGAAAAACTCTTTTCAACTTTTTTTAAACCAAAAACTGAAAAGCGCTTTTTTAAAGCAAACCCAAACACTCCTTAAAATTGCTTACTACATGGATTTATTTGGGATGCCTTACCTTATATTTTCTCAGTAATTGTTTTTTTATTGGGTCAAAAACCTAGTCTTTCCCAACTTTTTTACTCTTACTTTTGATCTGCTTTTAGGAGGTATGTCCCCCTATCTTTTGTACCGTGGTTTATTCCTCTTCATTCACCCCATTGATTTCGATGGTTTGACTTTCGGGTTAAAACGAAAATATTAAATACTAGTTATACGAGAATTTGAATACTATAAGAGGGTATGTAACAAAAATACTCATTGTATAAAAGTAAAGATCTATTTAAACCTTTTGATTGATTATTTATAAATCATGACTACTAATTGCTAAATATTGTATCGAACTTCACATAAAATATATGTTTCAACATTTTTTAAATATTTATTATAGAGATAATTATTACTCATTATTTTGCAATGGTTGTAATTTCTTTAATTGTAATTATAATAATATTAATAGTATAAGAACAATATTGAAGAAAGTAAGAGTCAAAACTACATATATGTTTGTATATTGGCCCGTGGGCCAACACGCAACCCGTTGGGCCAACCCACTTAAACCCGCAGCCCGCTTGGGTTGACCCACGAAACCCGCTAACTAAATGTGTCAGAAATTCACAACCCTAACCCACTAATAAATGGGTTTAAATATAATGGGTCAGCCCGGGAGTTTCGGCCCATTTTAATGGCTCTAAATTTGTATAATCCTCACAAACGTCCTTAATTATATCTTCCTCTCTCTTTGAAATGTGTGCTACACTTCCCTTTTTGGGATGTATTTTAATTTTTGTTACACACCGCTTTTTGATAAGTGTCCCCTTTACAATTACTATTATTTTTTCTATTTTATATCTACTCTATCATACTTTTCCACCATCTCTCATACTGTTTCTACAATATTCATGACTCATACTACTTTTTCCCTAAATATGAGTATGTCAAACCCTATTATCGCAAACATTTCAATACGAAAGGAGTATTAAGTTTGTATGAGGGTTCTGCTAATATCTGAATTTGATTAGTACTTAATATATAAGATCTATTTGTCACACAATAAGTGATTATACGTTAGAGGTTTTTCCTATAATATTACTAATAAAAAACATATGGACAAAAAAGTGACTATAAGTTACTATGCGTAAATGTTGTAGTCACTATGGTATAACTTTTGAATACAATATTGGGAAAAGGGTCAGATGCCTCCTCGAACATACATAAAAATGTCAAATAAGGTCTTATATATAAGAGGCTATGCGTGACCGTCTCCATTTGGGGCGGTTCCCTTCCCAATTTTTTGATGCAATTTTATGAACATCTTATTCAGTAAGTGTAGTTTACTCATACCAAATTTCACTTAAACCTTCAATCACGAAGGCATTCAAATAAAGGCTAAAGGGTCAAATAGGTACATGAACTAACTTAAAGTGTTCAATTAACCCCTTATATAGAAGGTTCTGCCCGGCCGTCGCCAATTGGGGCGGTTCCCGGTGAAATTTTTTGATGAAATTTTTTGAGCATCTTCTTCATTAAGTCTAGTTTACCCATATCAAATTTCAGCTAAAAATTAAATCGGGAAGACAGTCAAATGATTTTCCGAAATGTACTACGCTGTTTAACTGCGCAGTTATCTTCAAAAAATCATTTGACTGCCTTCCCGGTTGAATTTTTAGCTGAAATTTGGTATGGGTAAACTAGACTTAATGAAAAAGATGCTCAAAAAATTTCATCAAAAAATTCCACTGGGAACCGCCCCTATTGGCGACGACCAGGCAGAACCTCCTATATAAGGGGTTAATTGAACACTTTAAGTTAGTTCAAGTACCTATTTGACTCTTTAGCCTTCAAATAAATTATTGAAGATAACTGCGCAGTTAAAAGTGCAGTAATCTTCAAGAATTGATTTGAATGACTTACCGATTGAAGTTTTAGCTGAAACTTGGTATGAGTAAACTAAACTTAATGAATAAGATGCTCAAAAAATTGCATCAAAAAATTCCAGCGGGAACCGCCCCAAATGGAGACGGCCGCACATAGCCTCCTATATAAGACCTTATTTGACATTTTTATGTAAGTTCGAGGCCCTACCTGACCCGTTTCCCAACAATTATAGTCACTTAAATTGTATAAATAGGAGTAAAACTTAAAACTTCTTTCAATAGGCCAGGAGTAAACATTAATTTTGTACCCTTAATATCCCTAACCTAGTTAATTCTAAAATATGACTTATTTGATCCTATTAAAAAAAATCTAAGTTCATTCACTTGAAACGATACCTTTATGCAGGCCTTTTAATTTTAAAAATAATCTAAGTTCATCCCAACAATATTAAAATATTAAAAATTAAAAGAAATTAAAATTAAAAAACTTTAACAATAAATAAAAATAGATAAACTGCATTGGAAAATATAAAACAATTATGCAGGCCTTTCCCGCAACCTCGGTCATCACCCCGCAATGTCACCTCCTATTGGCAAAAAAATGGCATTTTACGTAAAAACTGCCATTTTTCTTTGAAAATACCATAAAGATGGTAGTTTTACCCTTTCAAAATGCCAAATTTCTCCAAAATCTGCCATCATGATGGCATTTCGGGAAAATGTTGGCATTTTTTGCGGTGGTCGGAGCTGGTGGTGCTGGGAGGTTGTTGAGGCGGCGGCAGGCGCCTATATATTTGTTTTATACTTTTTTCATTTTTTATTTTTTTTTATTTCAACTTTTTTCGTTTTTTATTTTTTTATTTTTTATTTTAGTAATTTTTATTTTATTTAATATGGATTATATTTTAATTAATTTTTTATTTGTGTTTTTTTGTTTGTTTACAATTTTATTATAAATTAATTAATCTTATTTCTTTTATGTTTTAATTATTAATGAAAGTTGTTGGGGCTTGCGGCTTGGGTAGTGGTATACTTGTCCAAACACTAAAGTTACTCCTATTCAAAACATGGTACTCCTATTTTTACATTTTGTCTATGTTTTACTCCTATTTAGGGAATTCTCTCATATTTATGCGAGAGCGGATGCGCAAGAAGCACATAAATTACACACAATTCTTGAGGTGTATGCGAGAGCGTCGGGGTGGTCAATTAATCTTCCAAAGTCAGAGATATTTTAATATCTCAGTCTGCCTTTGATGATAGGGAGAAACAAGAAATCTATTTTTACATATGGAATGTGGAAGAAGATATCCAGCTAGAGCAACAAATTATTATCACAGGCTGGTCGGGAGATTCTCATTAAATCAGTTATTCAATGAGATAATTCCTTAAATGGGACTAAATCAATGTTGAAATGCACAAATAGGACTCTCATAATTTATAGGATTAAAAATGAACAAATTAGACACAATTGCCCTTAATGAAATTAGGCCAAATAAAAAAAATAAAACCCAGCTGTCAAAACTCGAGAGTCAACATACAATTCCCCAGCTGCCTCATTCATTGATCCTTATAGCTCATTCATTGATCCTTATAGCGTAAAACCTCAAACTGTCGGACATCTTCAGCACCTTCAGTGCGACACAGCCGCGGCTGTCAAGACCATCGCCGTCGTCGCCGCCGATTGCCGCTGCACGCCTCCGGTGAGGTGACTTGCCCCGTCCTCCAGCGAGAATGGTGCCACGGCTAAATCCCCTGTGGAGATGCTGACACCTTCTTAATCACAGCTACCTCATGTGGAGTGTATGATTTGGATTTCAAGCAAAATTACAATTATGATAACAATAATGACAAAAAATTGGCATTTCAACATGCATAAACATGGAATTTTCAGATTACAAATTATGACATTTTCAAATTTTGGAGTTGAAAATGTGAAATAGGAGAAGAAATATGAAGTTGTGTTGCCGATGAATTCAATTAAATGCCATAATTTGTGAAAATTCCAAAAATCTGGCATTTTTGAACTTGTATTATATCCATCTGTATAAACAAATGCCATAAATGTGGCAATTTTTACAAATTCATAAAGGTACACAATAATAAATTTTAGATCTGAAATTTTTTGAACGAGAGCCTCAAGTTTTCATTCCCAAAGGTTTCAAATTCTAAATATCCATTTAGAATTGAAAAAAATTCAAACAAAATAACAGAAAATGAGAATAAAAGAAAGAGGATTAGAAAATAGAGCAGATGGGGGAAGTGAAATAAGGAAAGAGGAGAAGGACAGAGAGGGATAAGGAAAGAGGAGAAGGAGAAGAAGGAAGAGAAGGAGGAGGAATTACCTGGAGACCGCTGGTCGGAGTAAGGAGCGCGGAAGAGGATGTCGATCGGAGAGGGACTGCCTTCAATCGATGCGGAGTAGAAAGATGTGGATCGAATTGAGATGTTGGGCTGATGGGTTTTAATGATTTATTATTATACCAAGGGTATACTGGGAATAAAAGTCCTAATTACGTAAAATAAAAGGTCAAAGTCCCATTTAAGAATTTTGGTGATAATTCGGTCCTATCTTAGGGTAAAATTTCTTATTCAATCAATTCCTACATATTACATGAGTGTCTTTTTATTACCATGCACGCTGCAGGAAGAGCTAGAACGAATGATGAACTCCTTTTGGTGGGGTTCAAATAGTAGGGAAAAAGGCAGGAGAATTTCTTTGGATGAGATGGGATACACTGGTTGTTCGAAAGGAAGACGGAGGCTAGGAATGGGTTTTTGTTATCTCCACGGTTTCAACCTAGCTATGTTGGGGAAACAAGGTTGGAAATTTATTTCCAACCCGGAGGCTACCGTATCTCAAATTTTCGAAGCTAACTACATTCCTAAAAGGGAATTTACAGGGGCAACAATTGGGTATAACCCCAGTTATAGTTAAGGTAGCATTTGGTCAGCTCGATTGGTAGTGAGGGGAGGACATCGGTGGAGTATAGGGAGTGGTGAGAAGATTAACATTTGGAATGAGCCATGGTTACGGAACAAGGATGATCCTAAGCTTCACACGGAGTTGAATTCAAGTTTTGCCCAGAGAGTTTACAATGTTGGCGTAACCTTGGTTTGTGGAATGAACTTCCAGAACATAAGAATGAAGTTAATAGTTTTGCTGAACTTTTCCTAGCTCGGGTCTGTTGGGATTGAAAATTCTTCTATTCAATATCAAGAACAGAATTACAATAGGAGGAGCAAACTCTCACACTCAACTATTACAAAAAACTAATCCTCACCAATACACTTCTACTCTAAGTGTATTTCACTCTTCACACACTTTTCTCACTTTCTAAAACTGATACAAATGAACAACAATATACTCCCTATTTATGGGTGTATATGGGAGACATGAGGAAGTTCCATCCAAGCTTCCATTCCCATTGATATGGAGTTTCCTAGCTATCTCCAAGAAATCTTTTCCCATGTTCATTTGTTGGATAGCTCCTTTCTAGAAGGTGTGAGTTGCCTCTTGGAAATAACTTCTAAGAAACAAGGTGGAAATTCCCTACAAATCTCCCCCTCCACCGTTTTCTTTGTTTCTTTCATTCCTGCGGTGCTCGCTGGCTCCCCCTTGCAGACAAGTATCCATTCGGATGTGGAATACTTTCTCTGTGGAACTATGCCTCGCATAGAACGTCGAACATGAGTACTTTCAGCTTCATCTTCAGATTAAGGCTCCCCCTGCTGAGGAATATCATCACTGTGAGCATCATCATCACCTACTGAACCATCACTCTCTTGTTCAGTAGTATCATACATCTCCTCATCGCTCAGAGGAATGTTTGATGATGCAGGCACTTCGTCTTCTGGAGTATGTTGTTGGCGGATTATTGGAGTACACCCATGAAACTCATTTTCATGAAATACAACATCTCTGCTTCATACAACTTTCTTCACTTTGGGATCCCACAACCGGTATCCGAATTCTTCATCACCATACCCGATGAAGATGCATGTGTTTGACTTATGATCAAGCTTCTGTCTCAACTCCTTGAACACATGTGCAAATGCCTTGCACCTGAACACTTTCAAGTAAGAGTAAGAAACATCTCTTCTTGACCATTTCTTCTCTGGCACTTCAAAGTTTAAAGGAACATAAGGTGACCTGTTTATAAGATAACAAGCTGTCAGCACAGCTTCACCCCAGAATGGCTTAGGTAGTTTAGCCATACTCAGCATGCAACGAACTTTCTCCATAATGGTCCGATTCATTCTTTCGGCTACACCATTGTGTTGCGGAGTTCGTGGAACTGTCTTCTCATGTCTGATTCCGTATGCAGCGCAATATGCTGAGAACTCTCGGGAAGTGTACTCTCCTCCATTGTCTGAACGTAGAGACTTCAACTTCTTCCATGTTTCTCTTTCTACCATCGCATGAAATAATTTTAAGCGATCAAACACTTGATCGTTACTCTTCAAACAGTAAGCCCATACCTTTCGTGATGCATCATCAATGAATGTCACAAAATATCTGCTTCCTCCAAGTGACTTCTCACCAATGGGTCCACATACATCAGAGTGTACAAGACTGAGTAACTCTGAATGGTTCTTCCTGGTAGAACTAAAGGAAACCCTGTGTTGTTTCCCGAATAGACAGTGCTCACATGGATCTAGGGCAACACCTTTGCCCATGGAAATGCTTTCCTTCCTAGCAAGAGTTGTCAATCCCTTCACGCTCAAGTGGCATAGCCTCTGGTGCCACAAGGTTGGTGATATCTCTTCTTCAACAGCATTGAGACTCGGATGACACAACTTTGCATGAGTTTTATAAAGAGTACCACAAATATGGCCTCTTGCAACAACCAAGGAACCTTTAGATAACTTCCACGTACCTTCTTTGAATCGGTTAAGATATCCTTGCTGATCCAGAGCTGTACCGGATATAAGATTCAATCTAAGATCTGGAACGTGTCGAACATCCTTCAACACAAGTGTGCATCCGACATTGGTTGTTATGTGCACATCACTCATGCCAACAATCTTTGAGAAACTCGTGTTTCCCATCTTCACAGCTCTAAAGTCTCCTGACTTATAAGATGTGAATAAGTTCTGGTGTGGAGTGGCATGAAAAGGTGCAGCTGTATCAATCACCCACCCAACATCATGAGTACCTACGTGTAAAGATTCTTGTTCACCATGTGTAACAAGACACGCGTCTGATGACAAACTAACCATGGTCTCACCATCCTTTTGGCTAGTATTTTGACTCATCTGTGGCTGCTCTCGTAGAAAGTTTCTACAATCTCTTTTTTGTGCCCGTAATTACCACAGTAATTGCAATATCCTTCAAATCAAGTATTGTTTTCAAAGGACATACCTCTCTCTTGTGATCTGCCACGAACGTGAGAGTTTCCTCTGTTTTGACCTTGGCCTCTACCTCGACCTCGACTTCTTCCTCCATTTCTGCCTCCCCCTCGTCTGTTGGTTTCTGACACGAAGACATATGATTGTTCAGTCCCGGCTTCTTTTCTTCGAGCTTCTTCGTTCATAAGGGCATCTGTGATCATCTGCATAGTCACCTTGCCATTGGGAGCAAAATTGCTGAGAGTGACAACAAGAGTCTCCTAGCTGTTAGGTAGAGAGCTCAACAGTAATATCGCCTGCTCCTCATCTTTGAGAACCCATCTGGTGGCGCTCAACTGATTCACAAGATCTTGGAATTGACTGGTGTGTTCTGACACCACAATACCTCCTCATAACTTGTGGTTTACTAATCTCCTCATTAGTAACGTCTTATTTCAGGCGGTTTTTGCTTGATACATGCTACCAAGCTTCTCCCATAGTGTGTAAGCACTTTGTTCTTGCGCAACATGGTGGAACACACTATGATCGATCCACTGCCGAATTTGTGCGACAGTTTTTCTATTCATTTTTGTCCATTCTTCATCCGTCTTTTTATCCGGTTTCACGCCATTATTATCAAGAGAATCAGCTAAATCCCTCAAATTTAGCAAATCCTCCATCCGAGGCTTCCACATATTGTGATTTGTGGAAATGAGCGCAATCATGGTGTCCGATGATGATTTATCCATAATAAAACGCTCAAAATATCTCGTACCTTATTTTTGGAGCCGAATTTGGACAAACGGAGCTCACCGTTGGATCCGGAATGGCCGAAAATGGTAGGAACGTGTCTGACCTCATCCAAAACCGGTCTGGAATTGGGTGAACCGGCCTCCATAACTACGAACCGGTTCAGTCCGGTTCAGGCAGCAGCCCAGTGGGCAGACCAGTCGGCGGATGACGTGGCAACAGCTGGAACTGCGCTAGCGCTGACGTGGCGCCATGTGGCCGCTGACGTGGTTGCAGGAGGACGAATAAGTGGATGACATGGACGATGGCTCAGCACGACGTGGCGATGATGTGGGCTGACGTGGCTCGTCTTCTTCCTTTGGAGTGCGTGATGACATAGTGATGACACAGGCAGTTTTCAGGCGGCGTTTGGGCGGCGCGTACGGCCTCTTCCGGTGGCCAAAAAATTTCCCCAAAAATACCACATTTCTTGTCTTGACGAGACGAATCTAACGTTATGATCACATTGTGATTCTGAGCAATTTAAAAAATCACGATTTTCTAACATGTAGAAATTTATCTGAAAAATGAGAAAACAGTGTATGGAAACTCAACCTCGCCCTGATAGGCTGATACCACTTGTTGGGATTGGAAAATTCTTCTATTCAATATCAAAAACAGAATTACAATAGGATGAGCAAACTCTCACACTCAACTTCATCATGTCTCCCATATACACCTATAAATAGGGAGTGTATTGTTGTTTATTTGTATCGGTTTTAGAAAGTGAGAAAAGTGTGTGAAGAGTGAAATACACTTGGAGTAGAAGTGTATTGATGAGGATTGGTATGACTTAGGGTTTTTTGGAATGACGCAGAAGACGATTCCAGACGGGTAAAGAGACGCCTTTATAGGCGAATCAAATGAGCTGGATCAAATAAGGAGAACCGGACTGGACCAAGGAAATAATCAGGCCCAAACTCAGAAATAAACTGAAACGGGCCAGACCTAATTAAATTTCCTAACCTTGCTTTACCTTCCTAACTGTACATTATATTTTTGAGCATCTTATTCATTACGTCTAGTTTAGTCATACCGAATTTCAGCTAAAAAATCAATCGGGAAGACAGTCAAATGAATTTTTGAAGATTACTGCGCAGTTAAACAACGTAGTGTAGTTCCGAAAATCATTTGAGTGCCTTCCCGGTTGAATTTTTAGCTGAAATTTGGTATGACTAAACTAGACTTAATGAAGAAGATGCTCAAAAAAATTCATCAAAAAATTCCACCGAGAACCTCCCCAAATGACGATGATCGGACAGAACCTTCTACAAAAGGGCTTATATGCACTTTTTTTATTAGTTCGAGGGCTCATTTGCCCCTTCTCCCTTCATTATATCCCTCTTTGTATTTTGAACAATATTAATGCTAGAATGAATTAAGTTTTTCTGATAAAAAACATTGGGAGTGGTACTTTCGATGTGGTGCAACTTTAGTTTTTCACCATCTCTTTGTCCTTTACCGAAAGCTATTTAGTACCATATCTTCTACATACTCCGTCCGTACCTTAAAATTTTGACATCTTTCCTTTTTGGGACGTCCCAAAAAACTTTGTCACTTTTCCTTTTAACTAATTATTTTGTGATTCTAGTTATTTCGCTCTCATCTGCACAAATCTCAACCACATAGTTTTTACTTTATTATTTTTCGTGCCGAACAAACTTGACAAAGTTTTAAGGGAGGGAGGTAGTACTTTGGAAGATCCTCCATGATACATATCATGACCTCTAAATTGTGTTCTTTCCAGTAGCATGTATGTTCCTGAAACACCTTTTGAAGGTAGCCCATTGTTGTTTGGGATTTTCGATTGATTCATAGCGTAGACTTAGATCAATATTGTGGCTCCTAATAAACATTAGACCATTTGGAGTGGTGTATTAGGAGTCCAAAAGGTTAAAGATAAAATATTTGGACTCCTAATTTCATGTAGTGGTAGGCTAAGGATGTTTTTAGTTGAACTGTAATTCGTTCCAGACCAGACCAGACCAAACCAGATCAGACTTGTGGATGGTTATAAAAATAAAAAAAAAACAGATCAGACCACATCAGTAAATTACAGTCCAAGTAAAAAACATCTTACATAGGGTATTAAAAATGGAAAAGGGGATGAAGGGTGTTAGAAATAGAGGGTGGGTTGATACGACTACTATAGGAGCAAAAAAAGGAAAAATGGGGAAGGGAGAGGCAGAGGGTGCATGGCAGGGATGTGAGGATGATGTTATCCTTGTGTCATTATAATCCCAATTTTTTTTTAAACTCTTATAACTTTTTTATTTGGTTTCCAAATTTTCCAAAAAGTATATAAAAATTCTTGAAATTTTATGATCTTTCATATGATGCTAATATGTAATATATAAAATGAAAACAAGTATTCTAAATTCTTAACTATTGGAGTTTTCTAAAGCCCGAAAAAAAAAATGAAACACAAAATTTTAATTTATGGAGCTTTTACAAAGGGAAAACTGTCAAATAGGTCCTCGAACTTTCATAAAAAGGTCAATTAAGTCCTTCTATGGAAGGTTTTGTCCGGCCGTCGCGATTTGGGGCAGTGCCCGGTGGAATTTTTTGATGAAATTTTTTGAGCATCTTATTCACCAAGTCTAGTTTACTCATACCAAATTTCAGCTAAAACTTCAATTGGGAACACATTCAAATTAATTCTTGAAGATAACTGCGCATTTTTGCGTTCTCGAATTAATTTGAATGCAATCCCGATTAAATTTTTAGCTGAAATTTGGTATGAGTAAATTAGACTTGAGGAATAAGATGCTCAAAAAATTTCATCAAAAAATTCCACCGGGAACTGCCCCAAATCGCGACGACCGGACAGAGTCTCCTATAGAAGGACTTAATTGATTTTTTTATGAAAGTTCGAGAACCTATTTGACAGTTTTCCCCTTTTACAAATAACTGAATATCCCATAATCAACCTTTACTTGAAGTAAGTTCATTTTTTGTTAATCGAAAAATGTTAAAAAATTTAATGAACTTTATTTATTTTTACATCGAAATGTGTATTTTTTATTTCACAATTATTCAAGGAACAAATTAAATGAAAAACATTATTTATAATTAAATAAATGTTTTACTAAATTGATATGTAAAAAAAGTATGTTGAATTTATTTTATTGACGGTGCTGGAATGCATGAAAATATGAGTCTAAAAACTGTTTTCATATGGACGAAGTCCATTTTTGACATTTTGGCCTCCTCAGCACTACAAATGGTCTTAGGGCGCAAGTGTTTGTGTTTAAAAAAGGTGCATCATGTTTGAAATTTTCGGGGTCAATGTCTGATTTGTGCAAATCTATGTTTGTTCCGTTGCGTGGACTTGGCTTTGAGCACCGATTGGCTTCATTGAGAGGGTGCCAAGAATAAGTTTATTGAATGAACAAGTATATTAATTGTACTCCATTAGAAGTCTGTTTGATGACTTTGTTTTCAGCTTATCAACCCGTTTGGTATGATTCCTTCTTTATTTTAATTCAGCGGATTCAACTAAATCAGATTGAAACTCCATTTTAATTGAATAACCGATTTGGCAATATTTAATTTTGATCTGATTTACTGAATTTACAGAGTGAAAAGCCGTGACACTTGTATGGAGTAAGCAAAACATACCAAGAGGCTAGTGCAAAAAGCATTGCATATATCTTCTTCTCTTTTTTGGGGAGAGATTCATCACGATTGCGGTAGATGCGTCGTCCATATATGCAAGCAATTATATGAGCCATCAGACCACAACCTCCTGCAACTAGCAAAGGTGTCCAAAAAATGATAACATCCATTCCCGCTGAACAATCACTTGAACTCGACGGATCCTTCACCGCATTCCTCACCTATACATATATTCCAAATCCGCCATTATTATATTATTATATTCATCCTATCCCACAACATAATTACATTGTTGATTGTTCTATATCTACGTACAAAATCAATACGGACGTACCTTCTTAGATTGAATTACTCCCCCCGCAATCTGCGAAGCTGTAGCGGCAACATCCAATACGCAGGCAAAAATAATATCCCCAAACATTTTATCAAGTGTTTGAGTAAATATGTTCTACTCAATTAATTTCTCTTCTATGCCTCTCGTTCGAGAGATTTATATACACAACCCAGCCGCACATTTCAGTTATTATTTCATACTCGATATACGTAACGGATTACGTAGTACGTTTTTGGTATATGATGGTAATATTGACGAGACATTTACAAAATAAAAGGTATCTTTTGTAAGGAACCAAATACTACCTCCGTTCTCTTTTAATTGCAACATTGAACTTTTTGCACTATTCACATATTCCACTTTGATTATATTTTATTAATTAATGTATTATAAATTAAATTTTTCAAAAATATTGTTAAATTCTTCTCATTCTAGATTTTCAAAATATGAATTTTTAAATTTTTTTACTAATAAGGAATGAAATATATTAATGGTCAAACTTGTGCGTTGGCAAACGTGAAATGTTGACTGTTTCGGATGTATTATTATGTTTCGGATGTTCGAAAGTTCTTTGACAAAAAAACAGAATGATATCCCACTCCATCTTATTGTGTTGGAAGGATATAATTAAATTCGACTTCAATCACAAGATAGCGAGTTAGGTTATGGCACAATAAAGTACTAGCAAAATTTTAAACAGATGCTTACTCCTGAAGGGTAGGGGTGGGAATAGGTCAGGCGGCTCCTACGGTCTAGCCTGTATAATAAACAAACTAGACTTGGGTTTTTTGAAAATCGAGTTTATTTGAATAGGTCATGCCTTAGTTGGTCTATTTATATGTGTCTTAACAGGCTAGCCTATTTATGTGTTTATATATACAAAGTATTTAGTTATACTTATATGTTTTTGTATTATTTATGGAGTATATTGGAAAATTGCAAACAATTTGTTGAGGTTTATTCTTTCAACCCTCGGGTCCAACACGTAAGCCCAAGAGTTTCGAGTTGAGTGTGTATGTGAATGAACTAGACCAACTAACGAGTAAAATGGATCAAGAAACAGTATGTAGCAAATAAGAGATTAGGTATCATTAATCAGTTAATAACTCCCCAATACAATATGCTTGCTAAGGCTCGCCGGACGTTCGTCTTACAAGGCAGTAGAAGAGCTGCGAGTAAGAGAAGTATAAGCTAGTGTGCTAAGAATAGTAAGTTGTCAACCCTTTACAATGAAATAAATGCTACTATTTATACTACCAATGGGCAGTTGACTATGCTGACGTGGAAGGCGGTGTGTTGCTGGTGTCCCAACCACCAAATCTCCAGCATTTAATGCGTTTCCCGCCAGAATCTTGGTTTCCCGCCTAACCCGTGGCGACGGACGTCCAGTGGGGAAAGGGAGTTGCTCCTGGTGATATTGCAAAGGGTAATGGGCCGTACGTATCCTGGCCCTTAGAGGATTTGTCACATGGGTTGGATTGGCTCCAGGTGGCAGTGGCTTCTGGAGGCGACGTTCGTCGCCGTTGCGTTCGTCTGTGGATTTGATCCACTTGTCTTTGTACGGACGTTCGTCCGAGTGGGCTGCCCCGCCAGGGAAGACGTTCGTCTGGACGGGAGGTGAATGGGCCGGCCCCTATGTTGGGCCATTAACCCAACACAATTAATTTGACATTTACCCGGTCTGCTTTGAATGGTCCCTTATAATCCATAAAAACCCAACCTTTGTTAGGAATATTTATGGTGTCCAATCCTGATAAATATCTTTGTATTTGTGTAGCTATTTTGTCTAGATATTTTAGCCCATTGGGATCTTTCATTGCTATTATTATATTAGCTTTATTAGGAAATGTGCAAAGTGTCTATTGGGCCCAATCAATAAAAGAGCTCAATCATGATGCTTAGGTCACATCACACATTCCCTAGGCATATAAATATTGCCTTTAAGGGAATGTGCAAAGAGACTTTTTACACAGATTATTACGCGCATATCATTGTAGTGAGAGAGAGAGCCGATACTTCCCTTCTCGATACCCAACTCTGTATTTCTCGATCATTTTGGTATTGAATGGGTTAATCTGTTTCTTCTCTACTCTATATTTTGTATGATTGTTGGATGAAATAGGGACAACAACCTTTGTATAATATCTTCCTTCTTCGGTCCTGTGGTGAGTGGTGATATGTATCGGTTGTCTAAAGTTTTTAAATGAGTAAATCACCTATATATGAGCTAAATTCCCTCTTTCATTGACTAATGATGTCTGTTTGGATAAATTTATGCCTATAGCTTTTTGGCCTACCCAGCCCAGCCGCCACCATCCTCCTCCTCCAGCCACCTCCGTCGGCCATCGGCCATCGCCAAGCTGCCCTGTCTGCCGCCACCGGCCACCGTCGCCGACGGCCAATGTTGCCGGAATCCGACCAAAATTTTCATATTGGTTTTCTGCCAGTTTTATACCAGAAGACTCGCTGCTACTTCGTCACCAGCAGTCGCCACAGCCGGACTACCCTGCCACCTTATACTGCTCTTCCACCAACCATTGGCGGAGGAGGGGGGAGGCCACCCTGGGCCATGGCCCATTGCAAGTTGGCCTAGTCTCCATTAGGAACAGTAAAAAAAATCATTTTTAAGTAATGGCCCAGTGTATTAAAATATTGGCCCACTATCATTAAAACACTCCGGCCCAAATCTTATTCAACAAAAAGCCAACCGGCTAATAATTTTAACGGGGGAGAAGTGTTGCGTTTAACAAAGCTCAAACAAACAGGAGTATGAACAGAACTAGAAAAGCGGCTGTGAGCTTGTCCAGAGAAGAGTAAATTCATTGTAGCAACGCCGCTGGAGTCCATAGGTAGAAACGACCGCCATCTTCCATCTAGGTGTAACACCCCGGCCCCGTGGGACCCAAGGTAGTTACTCCGGACCAATAGTACTGTCCTCACAAACCACCACAAGCCTTTACCACGCACTTTGTCCTCACTCATGCGCGCCCTGAGAAACTTCCCAGAGGGTCACCCATCCCAAGACTACTCCCGTGCAAACACGCTTAACTTTGGAGTTCTTGGCTAATGAGCTCCCTTAAAAGGAGATGCACCTTGTTGGTATGAGTAGTACTATTAATCCATTTATATTAAATCTCAAGTGTTACAATCACCCCCACTTAGGATCGCAACGTCCTCGTTGCGCCCTTAAACCAATCTCAATCAAATCCCAGAATCTTTTCCCCTGCTAGGTGTCTGCCCGATATCCAACGGATCAACACACTGTCGCAGGGTTGCTTTGATACCACTTGTAACACCCCGGCCCCGTGGGACCCGAGGTAGTTACTCCGGACCAATAGTACTGTCCTCACAAACCACCACAAGCCTTTACCACGCACTTTGTCCTCACTCATGCGCGCCCTGAGAAACTTCCCAGGGGGTCACCCACCCCAAGACTACTCCCGTGCAAGCACGCTTAACTTTGGAGTTCTTGGCTAATGAGCTCCCTTAAAAGGAGATGCACCTTGTTGGTATGAGTAGTACTATTAATCCGTTTATATTAAATCTCTAGTGTTACACTAGGCAACTGGGATTCCGCCTTGTCTGCCATCAGCGCCTTTCTCCGGCTCTCTGCCATCCGTGCAAATCTGCAATTTTTAGGTATTTTTCTTACCCTAATTTCTTAAGTTAATAAATTACTAATTTATAATTAGTTTCTTATTTGGAGATTGTGTATTTGTGAATTACTAAGGCAGTAACTACCTCCGTATGAATGTATGATTTATGAGTGTATTTGAATTGGGCTCTTATATAAAAAAATAATTTACAAATTTTTATTAGTTCGTAGTTTACTAATTTGTAATTAGTTCGATTTGGGAAGTGGGATATTGTTTATTTGTGAATTGTTAATTGTGTTCCTAAATCAGTAATTCGTAATTTCAAATTAAGTATTTAAATTGTTTGTTTACTTTGGTTTTAGATTTACTAGCTATTACTTTGTATTATATACTAAAGTATTACATATTTTTATAGAAATTAATGACCACTCCAAAACAACCTTCCAAGAAAGTCAAAGTAGCCAAATCAACGCTGCATTCTTATTTTACCCCCACCGCTCCAACTACAAGTGTACAAACTGAGAACCTGATTTCGAATGAGCATGAAGAATCTTCTCATGTTCAGAATCAAGCATCTTCTGTGATTGAAATAGAACGGGATCCCGGTAAAAGAAGAAAAATATGTGATTGGCCTGTTAATAATAGAGATGAAGTTAGGCGGTTATATTTGGTGGCTGGGCCTTACCAACCAAAACTTCAGCGCTATCAAGGTCGAGAATATAAAGACAAAATTCGACGTTTTCAATTGAGAGGGAACTTGTTAGTACAATAGATATTGACTCCCTTATCGATGAATTTGCTAAAGTAAAAGATCGTAGAGTGCAATTGACTTGTTAGTTTGATGCACTAAATTTCTAGTAGTTTTGTTGTAAAAACATTTGTGATGCACTTGAACTTAATTTTATTACCACACTTATATTTAAGAATTTTTTAGTTCAAATCTGGCCCAACCCTTTATAGTGTCCTGGCTCCGCCCCTGCCACCAACAGACTGCCCCGGTTTCCACAGGGCACTAGAGGCCAATGCATTGATTAGAGGCAGATTGTACTTGTAATAATTTGCCACTGTAGTGACACTATTTGACATTGTAGCGATGCTGTTTGACACTGTAGCGACACTGTTTGATAATGATTTGTTTGTCAAATAAAGAAGTTAAAAAAGTAGGACAAACATTTTGGGACATCCATTTCGGGAAAGTAGGACAAACATTTAGGGACGGAGGGAGTATATATAAACAAATAACAAACATACGGAGTATATATTCTTTATTTTTATAATGAAAATAAAGACTCAACTTCATATTTTTAATATTAATAATTATCCTTCAATAATTTTCAAAATAATTTTTTATGTCAATATAAATACTCTCGGGGTTTTGACCCTAATATTATTAATAAATGGATGATTAACCAAAAAGTGACCTTTAACTTATTTTTCCGAAAAAGTGATTAAAATACTAACAGAATCGCTACAGTAACGGTTACAGTAACGGCGCTACAGTAACCGCTCTACAGTGACAATACTACAGTGACGTTGCTATAGTGACATTGCTACAGTGAAATTGTTACAGTGACACAACGAAAACATTTTTACAGT